AAGGAAGAGATGGTTCCTGCAAACAGCGGCGTCGTCTCGTACAGCCACACCTTCATGTTGGCGCAGGCGTCCCATTGGTGCTTCCCGTCCACCACGCCGTTATAGCCGAGTCCAGACAGAATACACACTCCCTCCTGTCACACAACACACTCTAACATCACATCAGGGTCGTTTCATCTCAGATCATAAAGTCTTCACAACAGTTTCTGCTCAACCGTGTACGATTTAGCTGAATTTTGTTTACAGCATAAAATATGGATTTTACAAAGATATTTACCAAGTTTTATGTTAATATATGAAACGCTTTCAGAGATAATTTACTGTAAAAATCGCCCGTCTATCCACGTTCAGCAGGTTTGTTCTCATTAAATCTGAGTCTGTTTGAACATCTGAGGAACTGTTAAAGACAAGAACTGAAATGTTCTGTCATTTCTCACCATGTCATTGATTATATTCAGAGAATCATTTTCATCTCCAGAACTCTGCTTAAATCAGACTTTCTTCTGATATTTTAGTCTTTTGCTGCAACTTGTCAGACCTGCTCAGTCAGTTATCAAAGTTAAACAACTAAACAACTTTCTGTTCGTGTCTGTGACCCAGAGCTTCATCTGAAAGTGTTCTGATGTGTCGTCTGTGTTCCTGTGACCTGCAGCTACATGTGGGTCAGAACACATCACTGGTTCTCTTCTGCTTTATCGGGTTTTTTGTTAATGACCTTATTTTTTTTCACATTTCAACTCATCTATAATCAGATTATTGATCTACAGGTTCTGGATCAGTGACATGATGAGAACTAACAGAACATTTCAGGTTTGATCTTCAATAGTTCCTCAGAGTTCTCTCCGGGTTCTCCGGCTTCCTCCCACAGTCCAGAAACATGCTGAGGTTAATTGGTGATTGTAAATTGTCCGTAGGTGTGAATGTGAGTGTGCTTNCTGGAGCTCTGAAGGCTGGAGCTCTGAAGGCTGGAGCTCTGAAGGCTGGAGCTCTGAAGCCTGGAGCTCTGAAGGCTGGAGCTCTGACAGCTGGAGCTCTGAAGGCTGGAGCTCTGAAGGATGGAGGTTTTGGTTTGATGGTTGGACACAACGAACCGCGTGAGGACAGTTTATCCACCGACTGTCTGGTGGAGGAGCATCAGAAGTGAGTTGGGCTGTGGAGGTTTTCAGGTCAGCTGGTGATCCACAGCGGCAACGTTCAGACGATCAACTCAAACCTGCTCCAGTTTCTCCTCAACATTGGACTCAGAGGAACAAGTTTGTGGACCTTTGGAACGGATCAGAATGACGTCACAGAACATTGATCAGAGCCGACAGCTGCTCAGAAAACGTCCACCAGAGAGGATTCAATCAGCACATGAAGCGACCGTCGACCCGATTCAGATCACACCGATCCAACTTTACTGTCACTGCACAAGAACCAAGACGGCCAAAAGCAGTTCGCAGCTTCTAGAACAGAACCAGAACTGCATGATCTGCTGCTGGGTCCAGCGGAACCTCTCCACTCATCCTGTTTCTGAATCGAACCATCTGATCCGGAACCGGACACAATGCTCTCTGACAGAACCAATCATTTAACTGGAACCGTTACAATAAAAGTTTCAGGTAGTTTTCAGGTAACGTGATCATCTTCTGCTTTCCTTCACGTTATGTTCTCGTAAACTTTAAACGGACCGTGAGGGTTCTGGGCCGTCGGCCTCAGAGAACCTTCTGGCTTTAGATGAGTATCAACAGAACTCCATCGTGGACTTCATGACCACGTTAGAGACTCGTGACCTTCAAAACAACTTCATCCAGATCAAACGTCTGCTTAGAACACAAACAGAACCACCAGTAAGCAGAACCCTGAACCCAGTTTAAAATCAGAGAACGAGGTTCATGAGCACATTTGTTAAAAAATTCCCTCAAGAACTAGAATGTAATGAGAATCAGAACCAGAACCAACAAGACAGAGACTCACCAAAGTTGAACGCTGCCAGAGCCAGACCCGAGACCGTGTGGAACAAGTGGATCACTGTGGCGGGCTGGTAGAACAGGAGGCGGCGGTACAGCAGCGCACACGGATACCCTGCAGGGGAACCAGAACACGTTAGTGGACCTGCAGAACCACCAGAACATCTCTGGTACCAGCAGCATCAACCCTGTGGACTANGAATATTTTACTCCAGACTAGTAACTTTTTCACCAAGAACTGAATTGTTATTATTATAAATAAAAGTTGTGTTCAGGCTCCGCTGGTGTCACTGATCTATTGACTTGGTGGTGATGAAAACCTGCACAGAAATGAGTCGTCATCGATATATTGACCGGCGATCAGCTGACTCACCGGCTCCTTCCCGCCGTCGTAGTAATCAAAAGACAGACCTGAAAGAGAAAACAGCCGGATTCAGAATCACCTGAACAGACACCAGGCTGACTGTAAGAGTCACTGCTGAACAGAAGCAGGGCGAATGTCGGAAACGTCTCTAGGGTGGCATGAAACCCACCGACGAGTTTCAGCGTGAGGACACAGTGAGGCATGGTCCACTTGATGTCGTACTCCTCAGTGGCTGTGTAGTAGTAACCTGCCAGCAGGTAGATCTGCAAGAGAACACGACAAACATCAGCAGCTAAGCAGCACAGTTCAGAGTCTGGGAAACGTCAGCTGAAAAGAACCCACAGAAAATCTGCTGAATTAGGGAAACTGCAGCTGGTTGAAAACTCAGTTTCACTACCTTTAATTCTCAAACTGTGGATACTAAAGTCAAAACAGCTCCAGCTCAAGTCATGTGACTGTTGGTCAGACTGATTTATCAGCCGGGAACATCCCAAAAACATACCAAAGGCAAGAGAGGCGTTGGTGCTAACCACCACGCCACCTTGCAGCCCCTCTCTAAATGTATTGGTAGGAATGTTGAGTGGATTAGACTGCAGACGGCACATGGTGTGTTGATTTCAGATTTTTACCATTTTCGTAAAATAAATAACTAAAAATGTCTAGAATTTCTCTTATTCCGAGTCCTGCTGACAGAAGACATGTCTGAGTTCTGTCTCCTTCTTCATGTGGTTCTGGTTCTACAGAGCAGCAGGACTTTATGCTGCACAGAAACCACAGTGCAGATAAATGAGTTCACAGAACCTGAGCAGCTGAAACATGAACAGAACAGTAGAACAGCTGAACCGGATCTCACCATCTGGAACGTAAAGCTGCTCAGGACCGCCGTCACCGTCCTCCCCATCAGCCTCAGCATCAGGAACTGAACCAGCACACATACTACAGAGTGGTACAGCTGAGCGCCTGCAGACACACAGCGTGAATGAGTTTACCCACTGAGACCGGCAGCACCTGAACACAACATCCACACAGACAGAAACACAACATCCACA